TTTTTCTTTTCTCATATATTTCTTTTCCCTTTTTTTCTTCCCCAACCTCTCCCACTTCCCGTGCTCCTTTAGACCTTTTCTTCCTATTACACAATATCAACTATACATTTTTAAAATTACAATATCAAGCTCTAGGAGCCATTACCACAGATTTTACAGAATTTAAAAGGATATAGAAAGCATATTACAAAAATCTTTTTTGAAATAAATTTATCAATTTCTAAGAAGTACCTTGGAAGACAAATTAATGAAACTAACTCTAGAGGAAATATAGAATTTGAATAGCACCTATTAAAGAAAGTATATTCCTAGCTTGAAAACCTACCTATATGACAACAACAGGCTCATATACATTTTAATTGATAAATTATATCAAACATTTAAAGCAGAAAAAAGAAGGAACACTTCTCTCCTCATTGTAGGAAATCAACATTGTGCTAATCCTAAAACCGGATAAAGATAATAGAAGAAAAAAGAATGAACATAGATAAAATTTTGTTTAACAAAATGAACTATTAGAAGTCCGATCTGGCAGGATGTAGAAAGTGGTTTTATTATAAGGATGGCAGTGTTGATTCAGCATTGGAAGATCCACCCCCAAAAGTCATCATTTTAATAGAGGAAAGGAAAAAGCCATAGGATACTGTTAGTAGTTGGAGAAAAAGTATTGGACTAAACTCTATTGCTGTTCATGGTACAAGCTATCAGGAGGCTAGAAATAGAACAGAACCTTTTCAATAGATCAAAGACATGTACTCCATACTTCCAGTGAGAACACCTTATATGAATGGAGAAGATACAATGCTTTCTCCTTAAGGTGGGGAAAAAGGGCAGATATGTCTACTCTTCATCTGTCCATTAAACTTTGAAACATAGGCCTAAACCAAAATAGTCTGGCAATAAAATGATGCAGTTAGTATAGGATTGGCAAGGTAGAAGCAAAATCTTTATATGTAGTTGAAATGATCATCGACAGAGAAAATACTAAGAAATCTCTAGGAGCCCCTAGAACTTGTATTTGAATTTATCAGGATTAGAAAACACAAGGTATATGTAAAAATTCAGGTCTATGTTTACTTGCTATGAATGAAGAATTGGATATTGAAATTTAAAAGTTATGTAGGAGTACAAAGGACTTAGAAAAGTAAAAAGAAAAAGAAAAGAAAACAGTGTTGGAAGATGTTTAGTACCTAATTTTAAGACTTCTTCTAAAGCTACAGTAATCAATCCAGTGTTGGTGTAAGGAAAGACATATAGATCATTTGAATAAAACAGAGAATCTAGAAATAGAACCACACATATATGGTCAACTGAATTTTGAAAGATTATTTAACATTAACATTTTATAGAACATAAACTCAAGTGGAAAAGATAGTGTTTTCATCAAATGGCACTAGAACACCTGGTACACGTATATAAAAAATTAACTTCAACCCTTTATTTCCATACATAAAAATAACTTCAAAAATCTATGAACCTAACATGAAAGACTAACACCATAAAACTTTAAGAATAAATTATACGGGGAAATGTTTATGAATCTAGGGTAGGCAAGAACTTCCTGGGATACAAAAACCATGATGTATAAAAGAAAAAATTGATAGATGAGATTCCATCATAATTTAGAAATTTAAATAACATTGTTAAAATGAAAAGTAGTCCTTAAACAGACCATATTTACAATGCATATAACCTATGACCAGAATATATAAAGAATTCTTTCAGCTCTTTAATAGACAACCCAATTAAAAAGTAGACACAAGAAGATGATAAATAGTCAGTACAGCACAAGGAAAGGTGTGCAACACTAGAATCAGAAAAATACTAATCAGTACAATAACAAGATTGAATTATACACTCATTAGAGAGATGAAGTTAAAAGTTTTAAAAGCCTTGTCATGACTTTTTCTTTTTGTTGGATTCTCCCCCTTTTGCGTTTAATTTGTCATGCTCAACAGATTCATTCTGCTGGGCTTCCTGGGGTTGTGATCCTCATTGTATTTTCCTAGGATATTGTCTAAGATTTTTTGGAGTGCTGGTTTGGTATTCATGAAGTTCCTAAGGCGCTCTTTATCATGACAGTATCTTATTTCTCAATCAATTTTGAAAGATAGTTTTGCAGGGTACATCAATCTGGGTTGGAGGCTGTTTTCCTTTAGGGCTTGAAATACATCACTCCAAGCTCTTCTTGCCTTGAGTGTTTGCATTGAGAGGTCTGCTGTGATTCTGAAGGGCTTTCCTTTGTTTGTGATTTGTTTCTTTTCTCTCACTGCTTGTAGAATTTTGTTCTTCTGTTGGGTATCTGGAATCCTAACTATTATAGGCCTATGTGTAGATATTTATTTGATCAAGGCTAGTTGGAGTCCTATGTGACTCACTTATCTGTATGTCAAATTCTTTTCCCCTGCTTGGGAAGTTTTCTGCCCTCACTTCTGTGAACAGTTTTTTTTATGTCATCTGCACTGTCTCCTGTTTTCTCTTTGACTCCAATCAGTCTTTATATTATTCTTCTTTGCATCATCTAGCAGCTGCTGGATTTGTTTCTTGTGGTCCCTTACAATTTTAAAGCAATTTTTCTTTTCCTGGTCACTAATTGCAATCTCATCGTCTGTACCTGAAATTCTGTCCTCACATTGGTTCATTCTGCTGCATAGACTTTCAATGGAGTTTTTAATCTCCTGGCAATCTGTTTGTAGCTGTTTTATGGATTCCATTTGTTTTCTATGTTGGGATTCCATCATGTTCCTCAGATCCTCTATTTTTTTATCTGTGTCCTCTCTAGATTTATTAATCATGTCTTTCACTATGGGCACAATCTCTGCTGTTATCTGAGAAATTATTTCTGATTTCATTTTTTCCACATCCTCTTTTGTTGCCCATTCAGGAAGTCCAGGTGGTTGAGTATCAGATTGTTCCAACTCATTTCCCTTTGAGGTTGCTGTAGTTGACATGGGAGTCTGTTTTTGAGGCTTTTTTACATGTCTTCTCATTTCTACAGGAGGTGGGCTGCTGCTAGCACCCACGCAGCTCACCTCCTCTGCCCTGGGAGGGATGTAATGGTGGCCAGGGACCCTGATCCTGGGCCTAGGATTGGCTCACCTCCTCTGCCCTGGTAGTGGTGGGTGGCAAAAAATTTTTCCTGCATTGTCTGTTGTCTCTTCATACTGTTGGTGGTTTCCCTTGCTGTGCAGAAGCTTTTTAATAAGAAGAGATCCCACTTGTTTATTGTTTTTGCTAGTTCACATGCACCTGAGGTTTTGTTAATGAAATCTTCTCTTATGCCAATGTCTTCAAGAGTTTTACCTAACTTATCTTCCAGCCAGTTTAGTTTTTCTGTTTTTATATTTAGATCTTTAATCCATTTCAATTTTAGTTTAGTGCATGGTGAGAGATATAGCATTCCAGCAAACCTTCAGAGAGTAGAGAAGACATTTCCCCTTTCCCTTCCTCTAACGTCACTTTTCATAAATAATATTAATTTTGGATGGTTATAATACATATGGTCACAATTATTCTCACTTGTATTTTTGAGTGTAAGTTTTAGGTAATCACACATAACACACATCTTTTAACCTTTATTCATATTTGAGCTTATGTATTTTTATTAAGTAATAACTTGAATTCAGATAGTATCATCAAAATAAAATGAAGAGATTTGTCAATACCTGTCAATTTAACATGTTCTTGCTGAACTTAGCTCTGTGAACATCTAGACTGGATTTCTACTCCAAAAAGAAACACCCCTATTTGTGAAGTAGTGTTCCTGGCATTGGGTTTGTTACACAGAAGAGGCTTGAAAATATGTGAAAAAGTCCTTCTAATCACACATTTACTCAGACAATGCCTTCATTTACCTCCTTAAGTGAATTTTAGATCTTAATATAAAAGTTCACATTCTGCTTTCTTCCTTCATACTTGTCTCTAAAAGAATTTAATTGCCTTACACACATAGTCAAAAATCAGAGCATCTCAATTATAATCCAAACTGGCTTTTCTGATCCACATCATAGATTACATTATAGAAAAAAAAAGAAATGTAGGCTTGTATTAAAACTATCAAAAATGGAACACTTGAAGTTATTTTGCCAAAAGATTTGTATTTCTGTCAGTTTATGCATTGTCTCCTTTATTATCCTTTGAAATCATGATACAACTTTTTGTCTTCCTCTGGTAACTTTACTGTTTATTTTTAATACTCCAGTTTTTTGTTTGTTTTGTTTGTTTGTTTTGCCTTTTTAGGAATAAGTAATGTGACTTTTCAATAAAATCTAGAAAATTATAAAGAAATAAACCCAACCATTCAATAATAGGATTTTCTCAAAATGACATTTTTATTTTTTACTGATAGAATTTTTTAAATTTGGGGGAAAATTTAAAATATGCAGAAAAGTATGAGGAAAATAATGAAATTACTCAAAATTCCATTATTCAGTGATAGCATCTTTTATTTTTATTTCTGTCCATATACTTTTGTATAATTAAAGTAGGATAACATATTATCATTCTATATTCTTTTACTTAATTTATTGATAGTTTACTATGTCAATTCTTTATCAAAACATGAATTTCGATATCTGTATGCTTTTTCATCTGCTTGTGAAGTTAGATATTTCTTTCTTTAGTTAGATATTTAATTTAGACATTTAAGAAAACAAGGCAATGCGAAACATTCCTGTTTAAACACACATACTATTAACTGACTCAGTAAGTGCTAGCTACATTTGGATATCTTTGTGTACTACTTCATTTTTGTTCAGAAAAAATAAGACAGATTGAGAGACAGAGAAAGAGAGAGGAATATTTAAGCACTTGGAATAGTCTGTCATTTAGATCAAAATTGACAGTGTAGTACATCTTTCCTACATGTAATTTTCTGCAATATTATGGTAATAAACAACATTTTATTAAATCTAATAGACTAATATCAATAATGAAATGTGTTAAACATTTTTAAGTTTTATTTTTCCTTGTAAAGGAATAAAAATGCTAGAATTGCATACCTGGGGATATGATATAGAAGAAGTCTTTAAATTCATCCATCCAAACTTCTGCCAGCCTGCGGTTGTTCTTGTTGATGACATGACCCGTGCCACCAGGGAAAGTGTATGGGGTTGCCTTCCGAAAAACATGACCAACATGGGAGCAAGTTACAATCTCCAAAGAGCCTCCACACTGCCAAATCTAGGAAAAAGAACAGTTGTTTTGTAACAACTATTACAAATAACGTAATAATAATATATGAGAACAAACTGAAGCTTAGGTAAATACTACAGATCTTATGTTTCAAAGAAATATTGAACAGACACAAAATGCTAAGATGTAATATCTCAGTACATTTAAACACTTGTGGCATTGGATCATGACTGTAAGATATAATTGTATTCATGCCATTTTATTAGACAATGTAATTCCATTTCTAGTACTCAACTCAATTGCTGTTTAACAGATATTTGGTATCCAAAATGTACTATATTAACAAATTTGTACATTTTAAGATGTAATATCAAAAACAATGTAAATTGAAGAAATATCATTCCATTTTAATCCACTCATCTGAAATTTTAAGTGACTATTCCCCCTCTATCTCATACTATTGGACATGCTGTTTTCACATGCTGAGATGCTTTTATATCAGTGAAATCTATATATTATTCAAAATCTGTCTTTAAGATCATTGTTTTTTGCCAAGCTTAGTGGCACAAGCTTATAATTCCAGTACCTGGGAGGCTGAGGCAGAAGGACCACCATAAGTTCAAGGCCAGTCTGAGATACATAGTAAATTGATGGCCAGCCTTAACTGCATAGCAAGACCCTGTCTCAAAAACAAGCATATAGATGCTCTAAAGGTAGATTTAGTATTGTATGCATTTTGTACTTTAAATATGGTTTTACTGAAGAACTAACCACACTGTCATATAATAAGCAGACTTCATTATCTCTTCTTTAAAACCATGAGCTCTTAGAAGACGTATATTACATGATAGTCTATGATTTACAGTGCAATTAAGGCTAAGCACTATCAAAATTATCCACAAAATACTGATAAAATTACACTATATAGGCTATACCAATAGTTTGAATTCTTATATGGATATGTGTGTGCGTGCACACACACACACACACACACAGAATTGGCCTTTCACATACATAAGTTATGCACCTGTGTATTCAACTATAAATCAAAAGTATTGGAAAAAATTCCATCTGTACTGAACATGTACAGATTTTTCTTGTCCTTGTTCCCTAAAATTACAGCTATTCCACAGAATTTATATTATATTAGCTATGATAAATAATGTAGATTATTTAAAGTATATAGAAGGACATGCAAAGGTTATATGAAATGATGTCAATTTATATAATTGACTTGAGCGGCCACAAATTTTGGTACACACATATGAGAAATCCTGAAATTAATGTCATGAATACTGAGGGAACGACTGTATACATTCATGTGTATGAATATGTATATATGCATACATACACTATATATACACAAACACACTGCTGCAGATAGAATCATATGTATTTATGTGTGTGTTTATTACATATATGTTACAAGTTTCTTATCATAATAAGAAAAGGTAATTGTCATTGCTATATGAATGTTTTTGAAATTTTTGAAAGCTTTATATGAGACTCCCTTTATCCTTTAGTAAGATTACTTCAACAGTAATAACTTACATAGTTGTAGTGTAATATCAAACCAAGAAATTGATATTGGCATAATATTATTAACTTGACTACAGATAAAATACCATAACAAAATATTTACATAGATCAGGTGGTAGCTGAAACAACAAAAATATATCCATCAATGTTCAAGAGATGGGGAAGTCAACCATAAGTCGCCAGCATAATCAGTTTATATTAAGGGTGTTCTTCTTGGCCATAAATGGTCACATACTTGCTGTGCCTTTACAACAGAAAGAGCTCTGTTCTTTCTTCTTCTTCCTCCTCCTCCTCTTTCTCTTCTTCTTCTTCCTCTTCTTCTTAAACAAGTTCTATTGGATTGAGGTCCCACCTTTATGATCTCACTTAATTTTTAATAACTCCTTACAAGCCTGACTTAATCACTTTGCTGGGACACAAAACTGGACATCCATAAATTAAAGAAAGAACGGATTATTTTGGTTCATGGTGTTTAGAGGATTCAGTCCACAGTTGGTTGGCTCTAAGGGAGCAACACTTTGGTGGAAGGACTGGGTGGAGGAAAGGTGTTCATCCCATGGCATTCAGGAGGGAGAGCACCTGGGGAGGAGCCAAAGAGGGAAATATACCTTCCAGTCACCCTTCAGTAACCAGGCTGTTCTGGACAGGCCCCACCTCATACCAGTACACTCAGCTGCTGAACTCCTTGGTGGATCAAGCCACTGATGAGTATAGCACCCCCATTATCCATCTCCCTTCTGCAAATCCTGCCTCTGAGCACATGAGAGTTTTGAGAGACATTCTAGACCTAAGTCATAACAAAGTGCAGTCTCCAAATACAGCTAAATGGGGTGTTCCATCCTCAAATATGAATTTGGAGAGAACATGATTCAGTTCATAGCATGACCTCACTGTTTCCAATGCTACTATCCATGAGCTAATCCATATCTCTTGTTGATTAGTTGAAATAGATACTTAATTTTCTTGTGGTTTTTTTCCTGTTGTACTCCTACATTTTTCCCTCTAAGAAATCAGGGTGTTTTTTTCAGTTTTATATAATTTCATTTTAATTCTCTGTTCAAATTGTTCAATGGCTTCTCATTGCACTGCGAGTATAAATAAAATTCTTTAGCAGGTTCTCTAAAACCCCACATGATTCTCTCACTCTGTAAATAAACATAGTGATATTTGCTTTCTGTCATTTCCTAGCATAACATACTTTTTTACACACCAAAGCCTCAACACCTGCTCAATAACTGCATCACATTTCTGGTAAGGATGGCTGTGTCTCATGTGTTGCATCTCAGCTTAAACTTTATCCAATAAATCTTCTTTAATGGCCTCATTTCAAGTAGACTCATCCATTGGTTTTCTCTAATAGAATCCTGTTTATTTAATTCATTGATTATCACAATCTGTAACTTATTTATTTGTATTCCTGTATAGTTTATTTTCTCAACTTGCATACAGACTCTAAAAGGGCAATGGAGATATCTGCTCATTTTTTGCACCACTAGAACAAAGCAGAGTGCTGTGTAGATAGTAAATATCACAATGTTTCTTGATGAACAACTAAAATTGACAAGTTTAACATGAATAAAGAGCATCCCTGGCAGAATGGTAAGATCTAAACAGACATATTTTGGGAAGATATTAAATTACATTTTGTTGGAAATATTTTGTTAATATCAGAGTAGGCAAGGAAATCCAGTCAAATGCTGTGTATGCTATTCCACTTATCTTGAGAATCAAGAATGCTCTTTGGAGGTCATAACACAACAAACAACAATCAGAAATGGTCCATGACAAACAGGGTACTATGTTATTCCATCTTAATTTTTAATGTGCTCTCAAAGGTAATTATCCAATCTCACATTAATCTCTCTCTTTTAAAAACATGATTTAGTAAAGTACTCAGGCATTCATACTGTGACCAGGCCTTTCCAAAAGAAAATCTTCCCAAATTCAGAAGAAATAACACATCGCATGTTGTACATGCAAGAAATGTAAGATTTTTTTATTATTTTAAAGAATGCAGTTAGTGGTAAGAAGGCTTTTTCTCCACTTGTATGGATTAGGCACAAAGGAGAGCTCTTCTCTTTTATAAGCCAAACAGGGAGCTGACTGCATGCAGGTAATAACAGCAGTTGCTAAACAGATATCATAGGCTAATCCCAGTGCTGTCTCCAGAAGGGAGCAGAATGTGTTCATTCATTCAGAATGTGTTTGGGAAAGCTGGAAGTGTGAATAAAATATGACCTAGAAAAATAGGAAGCCACTTCCAGTGTAGAGAATTCTGAAGGTGGGTTTAGGGTTTATTGTACAGCTTGCTCCTCAGAATAATTAGGTCTAATGATTAAGTGACCTTGAGTTGATGTGGCCTTTAACTGAAACTATATAAGGCTTCATAGATTTCTGAGGTCTTCAGAATGTGGACCACAGAAAAGAGAAAAAGAAAAATAAGTTGTGGGACTAGCAATATGGCAGATTAGTAAGGAAATAGACTATTGAGAAAGACTGGTGAGGATACCATGCAGTGAGAAGGACACTAAGTTCTCTCTCTCCCAAAGACTCTTTGATAGCAGAAGGGATAGGGTTTGAAGCTGCACACAGCTATAAGCAAATAATGAAACTGTGTATGTGAGATAAACACATGAGTGGAGGCCACTAGAAGCAGATGATACTACACCGAGTCAACAATAGGGAAACGTCATCTAGCTTGTCAGAAGAGACCTGCCATTTCTCGACCCATCTTGTTTGGCACTACATTCTGAGGGCTGCAACCCCCAAATCTCTAGCCTTCCCCATTCCAAGCTCATCTGTCAGCATAGGCCTGGGGAGAAAAGAGAATCTCAGCTATGTCGTGATCATAAAACTAGGGCTGTAAATTTGACATGAGATTTTTCAATAACTGAAAGCCTCAAGTGTGAAGAAAACTTGACCCCAGTAAAATGATATTAGATTAGAAAGGGCTATTCTTCAGAGCATGAAAATAATGACTTGAAAACATATTAAAACATTGCAACTCTGTAATTCACTAAATTCAGACTAAATCCTGCTATACACAAAGCAGTAATTGACAACTGTCTTCAGGTTTCTGCATTTGCATTTTGGAAAATAAGGGTTAGCACTGTGGTTGTGTAAATGAGATGCCCATGGCTCCTTATTCCTACTCTATCATTTCCTGGTCCTACCAGGGCTTGTAGGCTTATCAGTTCTATGTCAGTATTAGAGCACAGAACATGAGACCTCAAAATATGGCATCTTAGCAAATAAAACTACAGAAGCTAGGTCACTCCAGCCTTTTCCTATTTTGCTCACCAGAAATGGCTGTAAGGGAATTTTCTAACCTACTTCAGATAAATTTTGGTCCTAACACTCTCATTCTAATGGGATCCTGAACAAAAAGCTGAGGGCAACAAGAATCTGAAAAGGTAAGGCTCGCTAAATTCTTCCACTTCCCTTTCCCACCCTCTGCCCAAGGTCCTTTATTATCATTAGACCATGCCCTTCTCCATTCAATCATACTT